GCGCCTCCCTTATCCCGCTAGATTTCAAACCTGCGCGAAAATAACGGCAGCTTGAACGGCACCCGGTCCCTCAGGCGACGCGCAGCCGGGAGGATAAAAGCCCTTCGGTAGCCCAAAACCCCCGAGGGGGGCCCGGCCCGCGGCTGGCCCGGCCTCTGGTACCGGGAGCGGGGGTACCCCCGCTCCCGGTACCAGAGGCCGGGCCAGCCGCGGGCCGGGCCCCCCTCGGGGGTTTTGGGCTACCGAAGGGCTTTTATCCTCCCGGCTGCGCGTCGCCTGAGGGACCGGGTGCCGTTCAAGCTGCCGTTATTTTCGCGTAGTTTTGAAATCTAGCGGGAAAAGGGAGGCGCGGAGGGACCCTTTGGTGGGGGGTGTGTGGTGGGGTGGGAAAGTCGTGAGAGGAGGCTGAGCTAATAAAAGGATACCTCGGAAGAAATAGAAAATTGCTCTCAGTTCGTTAGAAATAAGCAATCAGGGAAAGAAAAAGAAAAAACACACCAAAACCAACCCCAAATTGACACAAGAGCAGATAAGCGTGAGTTGGCTGTAAACGAGCTTCTACTGGAAGGGGAAAGATTTCTTAGCCATAATGCAGTGAAGTTGTGGGATGATTTTGCAGTTGAGGTCGTGGGGATGAATAAAGGAATTGGTCTTAAGCTGACCTGTATAGGTTGGTGGAAGTAAGTTTGACGCCAGAGGGTTCAAATCGGTGCCCCAGGACATTTTTTCTAGTTCAGTGTTCCTGTGTAGTGTAATAAAAACCAGTAAGTTTTTATTGCTCGCTATCAATAGCAATGAGGCTTAGCTAGTGCTCCCTGTATCTATGCCTTCTACTTTTTACCTGCTTTCCTGTTCCTTGGTTCTTGTCCTCTGCGGGCCTTCCCACTTAGTTTCTATAAACTCTATTTTAAGTGTTAGTCCTTTCTCTGGGTTTATTCAAAGTTTATCAGCCACATCCATCTTTCCAGTGATTCCTGGTGAAAAACATAAATACCCTCCAACTTGAGCACACGTATTTAATAAAGTTCTGCTGTGGAAGTCATGTAGGAAAGCTCTTTTATTAATTAACATTTGCAGAGCTGATGTCAGAGGTGTTCTGTGTCTCTTGTGAAAAATTGTTTCCACATTGCATGTTTGCCATTAGATTGACCTTCTTTCTTTTTTTTGTGTGTGTGTGTATATGTGTTTGTGTAAAATGAATCTTTTATTCTGTAGCAGTAACCAACCTAGTTATCTAGGTGCTGACATCTGGGTTGTCTTCATCTACAAGCGTTTAATGATAAGTAGGTTGTAGGAATAATTTGAAATTCAAGCCACCAGTAATAGGGAAGCTTCTGCGTAGATTTCGTGTTTGTTTAGTTAGACTAGCTATTGAAAAAGGTAGGTTCAAAAGAAGACAGTATTTCTTACCTAAAGCAAATGTAAATTGAGAAGCATAATACTGAATAGTCCATAAAATTATCTGTGCCACCGTGCTGCTGTTCTTTACTCTTCAGCATGTAGGAGAAAGTTACTTTGCTTAATGTTTAGCAAGTGTGATCATTTTCTTTCAGCAAAAATGAAGAGAAGGACAGAACCTGAGTTTAGCAGTCCCCAAAAGAAGCAGAAGAAGAGGATAGAAGACTTGGGATTAACCCTCAGTTCTACTTCAGATGATGAAACTCAATTCAGTAATCATACTACTCAAGGTAAGGTTGAAGATAAGATAGGGAATTTAAACAGAAACTAGGAATTGAACCCATGTTTCTTAAATCTTAATTGATAGCCTGAACTACTCTCTCTTTAGGAGCAAACCTACGTTATTTCTTTGCACAACCTTGGATTGGTTTGACTTTTCTTAAGCTTTTTAAAAATCTTATGTAAATAATTTCATCTGAGAATTGTATGAATTCAGAAATAGAGAACAAAACTTGGAGATGACAAGTGCACGGTCCATAGCTGTAAAGATTCTTGTAATATATGAGCAGCATTAATCTTCTCAGTCTCAGCAGTTATTTCTGATTTGGAAACTTTCAGTAGTGAGGAGTTGTGGGTGTTGTGCCATAAAGAAACATCATAATCCCTCATTGTTTAAAAAAATAAAAATAACAGTAATCACATTTTTGTGAATGGGAAAAATTGAGATGTATACAAAGGGCAGGTTGATTGGAACTCATATATTGTAGCACCTTCTCTTTTGTTGACTCAGTATGATTTTTTGCAGGGAGAGAGGAGCTGTGAGAGCTCACAGGTGTTTGGTTTCAGAAAGAAAAACAGTTCCAGGGTTAACTAAATTAATTGCCTACTTTTTCTCAAGTTGGAGTGCACTTTCTCACCTGGAGCTTGGGGTGTACCAAAGATGAGGCCAGTGCCCTACACAATTGGTATCATTGTTGTGGGGTGCTTTAAACTCTCCCAGGATGGTATTTCAGGTTGCTTCAT